AAATTCTAATTGTAACAAAAAATATTTAATTATAATTTTATTATAATATACAGTATATATAAAGTTATATTTTAAAAATAATCAGTTTGAAATAATTCAATAATTTCAATTCATCAATATTTAAATTTGTTAAATATCATTTATAGAAATAAATTGTAACAATAATATTAATGATAATTTTTTTATTATTGAAAAATAGTTATTAAAATATATAATTACGTAATTGACTTTGAATCTTTTTATTAAAAAAAAATAAAATCGAAAAATGAGCATAACTAATATATAGAAATAAAATTTTTAAATAAAAATTTTTTTATTAATTATTACAAATTAATATATATATATATATATATTTATACAAAATTTTGTATATACAATTTGAAATTATATAATAATTAATTGCCTATACAGTATACGTATAAAAGAGTAATATGATATACAATCTCTTTTATTTTAAATAATTATTTTTTTTAAAAAAAAATTTTTTTTAACATTATTAAAATACTATACATAGCTTAAATTTATTTATTTTTTAAATATCATATTCATTGAAAACAAACTTACTTAACTATTTTAATGTATTTCTAATCTTATCTTCAATCACTGTAATTTATTTAACACATTTTAATTCCAAGTACTTATAACTGTTTAACATCATTTAACTTTTGTACTAATGTACAATTTTTTTTCTAATATAAATCAAATAAGCAAGCTAACATTTAACTCACTGCAAAAACATATTTCTTCTAAAATATATACCTTGTAATATACAAATAAATAGCAAATGTTAAATGTTCTTGATCTTCCACGCGTCATGTTTTGTAGAAATTACCTCGTAGTCGAATGTTCACTCATTATGTTAATCGAAGAAAGTGGCTTATACAATTTTAGTGATGCGTGTGTCACACCTATCATCTTCATGATAAACGTGAAAAAAATTTTTTTTAAATATATAACTCAATATCATGCCTTCACCAGTTACTCTACGTACCATTTCGTCCAAAGCGGCATTATACGTTCCCAATTTTAAAAGTATCATTACTCGTTCCGGAATCACGTCATCTCTTAGGGCCTATAGTAGTATGTGACCAAAAGAAAAACAGTCTGTTTTTTTTTTAATAACTGATGTTTCGCTTAGATATAACGCGTCGGAAAGACTAATATTTAGATTATTGACGACGCTTTCTAGGCAAATTATATACTAAAGAACATGAATGGATTGATGTTAAACATAGTGTAGGAACTGTTGGTATCACAGACTATGCGCAAAGTTCGCTTGGCGATGTGGTCTTCGTGGATTTACCCAAAGTGGGAGATGTTGTTGAACAATTCGGTAATATCTCAACACCTTCAACATTGTGATCAATTCTCCTACAAAGATGACGTGTCTAATTGCATGCGCCTATTTATTTAACGTAGGACATTGTGGTTGCTTGGAAAGTGTAAAAGCAGCTAGTGATCTTTATGCTCCAGTTAGTGGAAAGGTCATCGAAGCAAATACAAAATTAACATCTGAACCCGGATTGATAAACAAGAGTCCAGAGGAGGAAGGTAATTATAATTCCCCCATCTATTCTTTCCTCGACTAATGCAAAGATATCGGTGTTCACTTTATTGCATTTACACTATTTTAAAACAATCAAAAATTAGGGTGGTTGTGTAAAATTGAATTATCCAATTCATCGGAATTAAAAAGTTTGTTAGATAAAAAAGCCTATGATTCGTTTTGCAAAGAATCAAAAGGATCGCATTAGATATATTTATCATAATACATTGTGTAAACTTTTTCCCAATTCCAACGTGATGGTAAATAAAACAAGCGCGAGTTATAATATGTGACGTCACGTCTAAGTTGCCGATTGCCCACGTGACTAAGATCACCTATAAATCTACAGATCTCTCCGCTTAATGTTAAGAAAATGACCCACACCTCCTCTTCTAATTCCGAAAACTCAAATATTTCATACTCTCATGATACGACGAAAAACGACGAATCTCAATCCAAAAATTACGATAATGACAGGTGGAACTGTAGCTTGATAAACGAATTCGATTACCTAATGTTGTGTCTTTGTAGGTACAACTTTTAACAATTTTCGATGTTGTGATCAGCCTTTTTAATCGCCTGTTCATTCCAATACGAATAAATGAAGCCATTGGAGGTCAGGCGGCAAATTATTATAGATATGGTGAGAAGAAGGATTGCTCGAAACAGTGGAATAATGTGAAATGGTGTTTGAGGATGAAATCCAAAAGTTTGGAAGAACGAAAGGTATGATAGTCTTGTGAGATGGTTTCAATAAATATATGGAAACGCATGTGATCTCTACACTTTATACGAAATATAGAAAATGATTTTGGAACGGGAGACAGAAAAGGAAGAAAAGTATACTAAGACGAAAAGTTCTCTGGATGTCTGGGAGTTGAGGGAGTGAGCATCCTTTAAACTCTTAAAGAGAAACAATTTTTATGTTCATTTAAATAACTCCGATTTTTTAACCTGTCATAATTATTAGCACACCGTTGACAGAAATATTTCCGTTGAGCGATGAGGTGAATGATGGAGTGGATGAAGAATCCAAATAAGTCATACCGTGAAATGGATGGAAAGATTGGTCATTTAGGTGATTTATTTAATATTCACTCTATAATACAGTTAGATGATTACCTATTAATGATTGAAGAATGGCGAGAACACCGTCTAAATTAATGACGAAGTAATCTCCTTTGACAATTGTGAAGAGTAAACTTGTTTTCTTTTTTGTATCTTCGAAATGCCTCTCGTATATGATCAGGTGATAATGGCCCTTCAGATCCCCATTCGTTTTTAATGTCCAGCGCTTAAATAAAAAGAATTAACAGTGACATATTTAAGACTTTTCGAATCGAATGAGAAGAATGTTTAAATACTTTACCTTTTTCGATGATCTCTCCAATAAAGATTTTTGAAAAACCGGCTACCACGATTGAAATATTGTTTGAACAAGAATAACCAAAAATGCTACTCACGAGCTATTTTACAAACATGACTGAGTTTAATGCTAGCTTTTTAAAGGTCAAATTTAAGCACAAACTTTACCTTCTTGATATTTGGTTTGCTTAAAGCGGAACGCCTGTACACCTCGAATCGTTCCGTCTGCTCTGGTGAAAATGCTTTTAATAACATGCTAGCAAAACATCAAAGAGTTAGCGATCACGGTACTAGTTCATGTTAAATAATGTGTATGTACAAAACATACTTATGTTGTTCGTAGGTTCGTGAACGCAATTGAGCTTGTTTCCATTCGGTTTCGTCCGTTGTCCCTATTTCATGTTCGTCGTCCTCCTCCTCGTCCTCCTCGCCTTCGGTTTTGATAGCATTATCTTTAT